GGCGAGGTGTCCGTTTTATCTGCTACAGCCCAAGTTTTGGCGGCGCTGCGGTCTGTGGCAGACGAGCGGGCGGAGCAGCGGCGGTTGGTCTTGGCGCGCAGGGACAAGTCCATCCAAAGCGACGACCCGCTGCAGGCTGAATGGCTCGAGTTCGTCCGCGCCTTGCTGCAGCCCGCAACTCCCGCCCGCGGCGGCCCCGGCGGCCCGGCAGCGCCGCAGGACGCCGGCAGCGGTGCCAGCGCGCCTGCGTCTGCGGCGGCGCCAAAGCATGCGCTGCAGCTGCGCGCGTGCGTGGAGGCGGTCGTCAGGGTTTACCATCGGGCGCTGAGGGAGTACGAGGATGACGTCATCAGGTCCGAGGAACGGCAGCAGAGGCAGCAGCAGCAGCAGCAGCAGCAGCAGCAGGGGTTGGGCGCAGCCGGGCTCGGGGCGGCGCCCCAGGGCAGTTTATTTGACGTGTTGATGGCGCACTACGCCCAGGATGGCACGATGGGGCCGGCCCATGATCATGATGCGTGGAGAGACCCGGAGGTCAGCCTGTGGGGAAGCAAATGTCGGTGTGTCAGCCTGCCTGGGTGACTGCGGGCGCGCGTGTGTGTGTGTGTGTGTTTGTGTGTGTGTGTGTGTGTGCATGTGTGCATGTGTGTGTGTGTGCATGTGCGTATGAGGGCAATGGCAAACCCTTGCGCGATGCCGTACATGCCAGGACCCACAAGTGAGCCACGCGTGCGAGGGTGTCGCACCATCAGCTGAGAGACCGTGCGTGAAGCCTCCAACCAGCCAACACCTGGCACGCGCGCGCCGCTGACCAACCACATATCGCGCGACCTGCCAACCCCCGGCCCTTGTGTGCACGCTCGCAGGGCCCCATCGCCCGGCTCCTCCTCAGCTGCCGCCATCACGCGCCCAGTTGCCCGAAGCTCGAGTGCTTCCTGCGGTTTGCTTCGGCCTCAGTCTCTGAGGCCTGGGGCCCGGGCCAGTGGAGCTTTATGCTGGCCGTGCTGCTTGGCGTCAAGCGGCTGGTGGCCGGCCTGTGGAAGGGGCTGCTGCGAGAGTGGTGAGGCGGGATTTTGAGGCAGGCGCAAGCTGGCACGAGCGGCCGGGTGCCATTGGGGCGCGCGGGCGGCTGGCCCCACGCTTGCTCGGGGATGGGCGGTTCGGATGCCGCTGCTGCTGTGGGTGCGGCTTATTTCGTGCCCTGGGCGGCTCACTGCGGGCAACAGGGAAGATTGGTGACAGCATAGGCTGTATAATTGGCTCGCTGACCCTCGATCTTGAGTTTTCTGGACTCGTACTGTGCATTACGCCCTGCCGGCGGCTCCAAGACCCCCCTGCCGCGCCTCTGGTGCCAGGGCGAGTGTGGCGGGCGCGCAGCTGCCGGTGCAGGCTGTCCACGACCTGCTGGCTAATTTGTACAACTGTCAGGTGCGAATGGATCTGGCAGAGAATGAGTTCAGCAGGCAAAGGGGGGCATTGCTCCAACTAGCCCATGTTGAGGTCCCAACTCACGTGGGCTCTGACATTTTGGGCCCAGCAGATGTGCGGTGACAAACATGTGCTGGTGAGTAGTTGCTGGTATAGCAACATAGTGTCTTGGTGTAGATCAGGTAGAAAGGGTTTACCCGGCTTATTCGTAGGGCTTTGCCAACCTCGATCCTTTCAATCCAAGCCTTTGCCCTGCTGCGCCTGGTGCTTCTGCCACAGGACCCTGGGGCGCTGCCAAAGCGCGTAACCTCCTCCCTTGAAGCCATCATGACCCCGGGGCAGGTGAGCCGCTTCCGAGGTGCCCCTTGCAGTGGGGTCAATCTCTTACACTGTGCAGTGCAAAGATGCAATCAGGCCGCTGAATGCGTGCAATCTGGAAAGGGGGTGATGGAGGCACCGCTTCACACCAGATCTTGCAGATCCACGTCTGCGGCTGCTCACTTCCTGCCTGTCAACGGCTGGACGAGTCGCCTGCCAGTGCACGGCTGTCTGGGGCCTAATCCCCGTCACACCACTCTGCAAACTCACAGTTTGGTGCGAGCGTTGACCTGGACGGGCTGTTGAGTTTACTCATCCAGGAGCACGTGGCAGGTGAGCTGCTAAGCACGGGGGGCGGTGCAGGTCCCAGAAATTCTTTTCACTTTGACCGGTATTGACCACAGCCTGCGTCGCTGCTGCCGTGGCTCTCATGTGGATGCACGTTGTGTCTGCGATTGATCAAGACTTGCAGACTCACGTCTGCATTCACTGGTGCGTGCAGGCCGCCTGCCCCTTGACCCCCTGCTTCAGCCGCGCCGCCTGACAGACGGCACGCTCAGCAACAGCCTCAACGCCTGGGGCGTCGCGGCGGCGTCGCCGTCCTACGTCGGCGCAGCTGCCCTGCAGCTGCCGCCGCCGGCCTCGCCGCCCGCGCTGACGCCCGCCGCCAGCGGCGGCGCGGCGGCGCTCGGGTGGGCGCCGGCATCCCCCAACGGCAGCGGCAGGCTGGGGACGAGCGGCGGACGAAGTGGCAACGGCGGCAGCGGCAGCAGCAGGGCAGCGCAGCCCTCTGGTTTCCCCGCATCCTCTGATGGCGGGCTGCTGCCCCGCATCAAAACCCCGGACGCCGCAGCCAGCAACACGGTCGGGCCCGTCAGCGGCCCCCCAAGCAGCAGGGGCGGCGGCTCGGGGCCGGCCGCGGGGGCCGCGGTCAGGGTTGCCGGCCCCGGCCCTGCATCGGGGCGGCGGCTGCCGTCTGCGGGCGGGGGCGCGGGGGGCACCTCAAGGGCATCGCGCGCAGGGGCAGGCTTGCTGCAGGCCGAGCCGAGCGGCAGGAGCGACGTCGGCGGCGCGGGGATGCAGCGCTCGGTCAAGTCTGTGGCGTTTCGCGACCCCTTTTTGTAAGCGTCTTGCGTTCGCCGAGGGTGGTGAGCCCAGAGGTTGAGTCTGTTACACGAGGTCATTGAGACTGATAGTTGAAAGTGATTGCATAGCCTCGTCACAGCACGTAAAGCATAGTTGCAGTCACTGTTGGACCACCGCAAGTCAGCAGAGGGTGCGAGCAGTTGAAGTGGCGGGTGCGGCAGCGCCGTCGAGCCGTCGTGGCCGCAGTGGCTGGATGATGTGTCATTGTGGTTGACGCAGGGGTGCGCGAATGGGGCGAGTGAGGCGCATGCTGCGCAAGGCAGTGTCGCGTGGGCACTTGCTTGTCGCCCCCAGTCCGCGTGCTCAGCAGCAACATGTGCTATCAAATCATAAACCACAGTCCAGCTAGAACCAATCATGTTCCTCCCAGTCCACAGTTCAGTTTGGGTGCTGCACTGGCGGGCGGTGGGCGGCGAAGGCGGTGGGTATTGTAGGGCAAAGTCCAAGGCACGGCTAGCGGATCATCCCTTGGATTTGAGCACGCGTCACCTGCGTTCTCGTGAATGTGATGCATGCTCTGAACTGCAAATATAAATGGCGCCTGTGAGTGCGGCACCGCAAAGCGACACACAAGGCACATTTTGATGATCTTGCGATCGCATGCGGTGCGCAAACCCAGCGCGCCAACTGGCGCGGGTGGTGTGTTAAGACCCGGCGGCCTGCGCGTGTGCGCAAGCAATGTGTAAGGAAGCAATCTGACACTATGCTGGCCCATGGAAACAGTAATCCCTCTGCTACAGGCACAACCATCGGACATCCGCCGTGCGGCGCTGGGCAACGCGACATCTTGGAGGTCGGGGCCGCCGTGGCGCTCCCGGCACCAGCCGCAACAGAGTGGAGACACACATGATGACGTCACATGCTGCGAGGACTGCCTGCAGAGGCAATGAAGCAGCACACGGCAAATGCTGTTGTTGAACTCCAGGCCGCCTCTGAGACGGCGGCGCCGCGGCGAATGCTCGCTCAGCCGCCCCGGGTTGCCTACCCGGGCCGCCAGCGGCGGTCACGCGCAGCGCTTGCCGCCGGGGGCGCCCGCGCGCGCCGGCGCTGCTGCGGCGCGCCGCCCGGCTGGAACGCCCCGGGCGTGGCCGTGCTGCCCTGAATTACATTGGAAAGCAGAACGTCCGCATACGAGCGCTTGCAGGGGCTCTCCTGTGACGCAGGCACATCCGCAGCCCCGCCACTGCACGTGGCAGCCGCCTCCACAGCGCCTGTGACTGTCGCATCGCAGTCTGCTCCCGCCTTGGCCCGCAGTGCTGCCGCGACGCTGTGAGGTAGCGACGACGGCAGCGGGGCAACAGGCGCGCTGCGCGAGCCGGGGGTCCCTGGCATTGCTGGCGCGTCGCAGCAGGCGCCGCCAGATGCGCCACTGACCTCTGAGGGATGGCCAAACGCAATGACCCGCTGCAGCCCGCCGATTGCCTGCTCGACTTCCGCACGGCACCCGTCCGCCGCGCAGCTGCCTGATCTGCCCGCGCAAGCGTCCAGCGCGCCCCCCGCGGCGCCGCCGCCGGGGGTTGCGCCCTCCAGCCGCGCCCCCGCCGCGGCGGCGGCGTGCAGCAGGGAAAGCGCCCTTTCCCCAAAGCCGTGCATGGCCCAGGCCGCCCCCCTCAGCTCATCCCTGAGCCGCGGCCCCGCCTCGCCCCGCAGCTGCGCGGGCGTCACCGCGGCCAGCGCCTGGGCGTGGTCCTGGACGACTGCCCTCAGCCCCGCCAGAACTGGTGGCTGCTGCTGCTGCTGCTGCTGCTGCTGCTGCTGCTGCTGCTGCTGCTGCTCTGCTGATGTGCCACTGAGGCCGTCATCGCCGGTGCCCTCGCTGTGGCGGCATGGCGACGCCGCGCGCCAGCACTCAGCGTCTTCGCTCTGCGTCCCCGCATCCCGCAGGCGCCAGTTCGCGGGGATGCAGGCGCCGCCTGCGATCGCGCCGCCCTCAGTCTGCGCGCCTGCGTCCGAGGTCGAGCGGAATACCTCGGTCTGCGCCCCCGTCTCTGAGGTGCTCCGGTGGGGGTCTGTCTGTGCGCCCGCCTCCGAGGTGGAACGGGCGGCCGGCTTGGACACCGCCGCCAGCATGTCCGCCTCTGCGGCGCCCACCGCCGCGTGCGCGCCCCTCCAGGCTACCGGCGATCCCCCTCCAGAGGAGCCGCGGTGACGAAGAGCGCCGCTGCCGGCCGTGCAGCCGCCGCCCGGCCAAGAAAGGCAGCCGGGTGTCGAATCTCCGGGGAGCGCCATCGGCGGCGACGGCTCAAATAGGGGGTTGCACATGCGGTCGACGACCTCGACCACGCGGGGCTGCCCCCTGGCTGCCGCCGCCGTCGCCGCAGCCAGCAACCCTGAGGCTGCGGCTGCCCTCCGCATGCCGGCCGCGAGGCCTGGAACAAGCGCAGGCGCACGGGCGCTCGGGGTGCGCCGGCACGCGCCGGCGCCGCCGCTGGCGCCCGCCGCAGCTGCCCTCGCTGCAGCCGCTGCCGCGGCCACGGGGCTGGCCGGCCGGCGCACGGGCAGCGCAGAGACAAGGCGGCGGGACGGCGGCGTGGGCGCGGGCGCTGGTGCGGGCGCCGAAGGGGCGCTGCGAGAAGGCGGCTGCGTGCTGAAAAGCGCGCGGGTGACGGCGACTGCAGGCGCTGTTGCGCTGCGGGGCCGCGAGGTGCTGCTCTCTGCGGGCGTGGCGGCGGCGGCGGTGGCGCCGGCGCCGGCGCCGCTGAACCGCGCCACGATGCGCTTCACGTTGCCGCCCTCGGTGATGCCGCAGCGTGCAGCAGACGCTGAGCGGGCGCTGGTGGCGGGGCTGGAGGCGGTGCAGGCGGAGGGCCTGGATCCGCCGAGGGCCCGGCCTTCGCCGCCGCCGCTGACGCTGCCGCTGCCGATGCCGCCGCCCATGTTGCCGTTTCCGCCCCCGCCGCCGCTGCCGCGGCCGCCGCCGCTGGTTCCACGGCCGGCGGCGGCCTTTGCCACTGCAGAGCCAATGAGGCCTTCAGACACCTTGAGGGGCGGGTCGCTGCAGGGCCGCAGGGCGCCCTTGGCTTCTTTCGCTGCTGCAGCCGCCGGCAGGACACCTGGGATCGTGGGACCCATGGTGAGTGACAAGGGTTTGGCCGCATGGGCTTCCTGGCGCCCTGCAACTCCATGCATCCCCTGAGAGAGCTGGTTGATCATCACGCTTGAAAGGGTTTGAGTCCCACCTGTTTTCACCCTGAGCCCTGTGATCCAGCGGGGACCCAGCTTTGTTGCGGCTGGGGCAGGGGTGGGGCTGCCGCCGATGTTGGGGGCCGCGCCTGTCCCTACTGCCACCCCACCTTTGGGGTTGGCAGCCAGCTGCCCCCCACGCTTCATAGTGCAACCGCTCAGGACAGCGGGCTGCGAAGCGATACCCGCGCGGTAGGGCAGAGATGCAGAAGTCGATCGGCGAGCGACGCGTCTACAAAATTGCTGAGAGCATCCTTAATGGAGTTCAATTGAATGATCGAAGTCTCACTGGAGCTCTGCTGGGTCCGTGAACCAGCGGCGGTTTTCCTCGCACACGCTCTGCCGCGCGACGGCTGGATAATGAGATGGTATGCGACGTCAACAAAAAAATCGCATGTGAAATTTCTTCTTTTCAACTCGGTACCGCTGAGGTGGCAAGGATGACAATGTCACAGCGCGGGGCCACAAATGCATCCAGGGCGCGGCGGGCGTCACCCACCTTGCTTAGCATAGCGGCTGCGGCAATACTCCAGCCTGGTGCAGAGGCAGAGTCTCGTGTTGAATGCACCATGTACCTGAGATCAGCGGGGATACTGCGTCGCACGTGCAAAGGCTTGACCTCGACATGGTGGTTGCTTTGCGTCAGCTGGCAAGTGCATTCGCACGAACCCCGCACGCACTGCTGCCGGCCGGATCATTTATCCAGATGCGCAATTGGCAACTGCCTGTGACCATATACACACAGGGCGTTTCAGCCCCATCTCCGAAAAGAATCTTACACAAACGCACCGCACCTAATCCTGCGCGCGCCCAACGCGCACAGACCCACACCCTTCCACCCCATAGCTGCACAGGCCAGTCCTCAGAGGACGCCTGCCTACGCCCTGTTGCCTGAAGCTGTCGCCCCATCCCCTGTCATGACCGCCGCATGAACGGACGCGCTCGCATGTGATTGAAAAGACGGCACGCGCGGAAATTGGGGGCCGGGCGCTCTAACGCAGCCATGCCGTGTGTAACGAGGGCTTGGGGGGTGCCCAGTCACCCCGCCCTTCGCCCACCCGAAACATGCTAAGAGCTGGACCGTGCGCGCCCCCTGGTTGGTCACTTTCTATTGGGCGCCACGGGCCCGCCTGTGATCAGGGTCAGTGTGTCCTAGAATTCCAACGTCACTTGCGAGGGGGACGCGGGCGGCACGACTGCCGCACATTCAGCGCCGTCTCCAGCAATTCAGCAGGTGCCAAGCTAAAAGATACCTAGCACTCCGGTTAGCCGCGTGCGCCTGCGGTCAGCTGCCCGCCCTGCCACCCCCAGCACCCCCGCCACCTCCGCGCCATGCGGCCAGCCCTGTGGCTTTCCGTGCCGGCGCCGCCGCCGCCGCCTTGCCGCCCCCGCTCGCCCGCCCCAGGGGCGCCGCCGCTGCCGCGCCTTCCAGCCCCGTCGTCTCAGGGCCCAATGCCGGCGTCAGGGCGGCGCGCGTCCGTCCCACGCCGGTCGGGTCAACGCCATCCTTTGTGTCATTGTATCTGAGGCACTTCTGGGACGTGTCATTGAAGGAGGAGCCCCGGCCTTTGCTGCCTACTGAAGGGTGTGTGCGTGCATATGTATGTGTGTGTGTAGGTGTTTCTGTGTGTTTGTATGTGTGTGGTGGGTGAGACGGAGAGTGAAAAGGGGTGGGGGATGGCCAGCCGTAGGGACAGAGTGGGACTGTGTGAAGGGCTTCAAAGATAGCAACTGGAGCGCTCCAAGCGCCGCGGCAGCACGCGGTCGCCACGTAGAGCCTGCGCGCTGCGCAGGACTGCCGGACAGCGGCGCAGGTACCCGCAACCCCAGGCCCGCCTCACCCGCAGGGATACTCCAGGGCGCGTCGCCGCTGCCGCCGCAGCCGCCGGCCGAGCCGCTCTGCGCGTCATCGCCGATCGCGAGCGCCTGCAGCGCCTTTACGCTGCAGGCCACTTGGTCCAGCAGGTGCCGCCGCGCCTCGCCCGCCGCTGCCCCGCCCGCGCTCTCGCCTCCGCGCGCCTCGTCCCCCGCCCCCGCGGGCCCCTCGCCGCCACGGCCCGCGGCCCTGGCGGCGCCCGCCGCGGCCCGCGCGAGAAGCAGCCGTTGCACCGCGTCGGTGGCCGCGCGCAGCTGCTGGGCAGCTTCCTCCAGCTCCGCCCCGGCCTCCTCTCCCTGATCACTTGGAAGCTCAAGAGTCACATCGCCCTCCTCAACTGCCTCAGACGACGTCCCAGCTCCCACTCCCTCCCGCTGGCGGTGCGCCGAGGCTCCACTGATGCCGTCCCCTGAAACGACAGCTGGCGGCCCCCGGCGGCTGCGGGGCGCGGCGCCGGGGCCCGGCGGCGCGGCCTTTGGCGGCGGCTCCGCCCCAGGGTGGGGCCGCTTCTTCGGCGAGCGGGACTTGCCGCCGGCAAACAGCCGCATGCGCTGCAGCAGGCCCAGCATGCCCGCACTCGGGGAGCGCTCTGCGCCGGAGCCTGGGTCAGCGCCCGAGTTGCCGCCGGAGCCGCCGCCACCGCCGCTGTCGTCGCGGCGTGGCGCGCGGCCGCCTGGGGTCCCGATGGGGGAGCCCGGGTCCGCCCCGAGAGATCTGAGGACCCGCTGCTCGGCCCCGCCCATGCCGTTGCTCGAGGCACTCTGCGGCCTGATGGCCGCCGCGCGGGCGCCCGGCGGCGAGCCCGCGGCGCCGTGCGGCGCCGCCTGGAGCGCGGCGGGCGGGCGTGGGGGGCCTGGGGACGGCAATGGGTCCGGCGCGGCGGCGGGTGCCGCCGGCCCCGCGGCGCCGCTTGCGCTGCGGTAGGAAGGGTCCTGTGGAGAGAGCCCAAGGGACTGGATGTGATTCGACGCACACGCGGCGGCCAAGCAGGTGCAAGCTGCTGCTCACATACCCATGGCTGCCAGGTCTAGGACTTTTTCAGCAGGAGTCCGCGTCACCAATCCCAATTCAGGGAGCCCCGATGCGGCGGCTGCGCGACGCCGCTCCACCGCCCGATCAGCCGCACACCCCAAAAACCCCCACCTCGCTGTTGCCGCGTGCCTCCCAAGCCGCCGCCCCAGCCCTAGGCCCGTCCGCCCCCGCCGTCGCCTGTACGACCGCTGCCGCCGCCAACGCAGCTGGTACATGCGCCGGCGCCGGCGTGGGCGCGGCGCTGCCGCAGGGCGACGCGTTGTACACAGGGTTGTCCCAACGGCGCACGCCCCGGTCACCCTCCCCGCCGCCCCCGCCCGACTCACTGCCCCTAGCATAGACGCCGCTGCCGCCGCTGCAGCTGCGGCGAGGGTGCTCAGCCATCGGGGACCCAAACGCGCTGCCGCCAGAAGCTGGCGGGCTGCAGAGCGCCCGCGCTGACGCGGCGCCGCCGCCGGCGTCGCTCGAGCGCGCCTCGCTCGCGCCCGACGACCGGCGGGCGCCGCGGAGGCTGTCCAGTCGGACCATCGCGGCCGCCGCGGACGGCGCGCCGCCGCCGCCGCCGCTGGGGGCGCTGGCCAGGCCAGGGCTGCTGCCGCGCGACGCCTGGAAGCTGAAGGGAATCATCCCGGGCACAGGCGTCGGCGCCGGCGGCGTGCCCTCGATCGCGCCCCACCCCGGCCACATGCGGGGCGTGCTGCCCGGCGGCCGCACGCCCGCGCCCGCCCTCATCTCACTGGAGCTCAACCCCACAGGCGGGGGCGTGAGCTCGTCAGCTGCGGGCAGCGACTGCGCAGGCGAGGGTAGCGTGCGGTCCGGGGTCGCGACCGCCGCGTGCCGCCGCGCGGCGGGCGCCGCGGAGGGCGTGTCGTCGATGCCGAGGAGCGCCATGAGGCCCTTGCGAATCAACTTGGCGGAGCCCGGGGACTTGGAGCGATCTGGGGTGGACTGCTGCTGCTGGTGCTGCAGCTGCTCCGCGCGCTGTGGCTCTGCCTGCTGTGCCTGGTGTTGCTCCTGCTGCTGCTGCTGCTGCTGCGGCGGCGGCGGCGGATGCACGGCGGAAGGCCCAGCCGCCGACGGGGTCGCGGCCGCGCCCGTCGGGGCGCACGCCTCCGACAGAGGCGAGAGCGGCTGCGGCGACGGCGACGGCGGCGTTGCCGCGACCTCGGCCTCCGCCTCCTGGGGCGTCAGTGGCTCGCAGGTTGAGGCACCCTCCTCTCCCTTCTCCTCCGCCTCGTCCTCCTCCTCCTGAGGTTGACGCCCCTGCTGCTGCTGCTGCTGCTGCTGCTGCTGCTGCTGCAGGCTTGCTGTCATCATCGCCTCCGCAGGCACCACCCAGTTCGCTGCGGCTGCGCCGGCGGGTGCGACAACCGGCAACGCCTCCCGTGCACCCTCGGATGCTGCGGCGGCGGGCGCCGTGGCGGCCGCCGACGACGCCTGGCTGCTCCGCGGCCCAACGCCTGGCGTGCTGCGCCGCCCGCTGCTGGCGCGTGTCCCCCTGGCGCCGACGCTGGCGCCAGCGCCCGCGGAGCCAGCCCTGAACGGCGGCCGCTCGTGCCGCCTGGCCGCGGCCGACAGCCCGAACGCGGGCGCCGCGGCGGCGGGGGCGCGCGCGGCAGAGCGGCGGGCGCGGGCGGCGGGGGAGGGCGCGGGGGCGCGGCTGTTTGGGGTGGCCCAAGGCGGCCTTGTAGCATTGAAGACGCCGTTGGAAGACGATTGCCGCCGTGGCTGCTGCTGTTGCTGCTGCTGCTGCTGCTGCTGCTGCTGCTGCTGCTGCTCGTCTAGCTGCTCCTGCTGCTGTTCTGGTGCTGAGAAAGTCAGCAGGTCATTCAGCCGTTGCCCCTGTTGCTGCTGCTGTGTCTGTTGCTGCTGCTGCTGCTGCTGCTGGTGCTGCTGCTGCTGCTGCTGCGGCTGCTGAGAAACTGGTGACTCCAGCAGGCTCTCCGGCTGCTGCTGCCGCTGCAGCTGCGGGTGCACAGCCGGCACGTCACTCTGCTCTGCAGGCACAGGATGAGAGGACGGCGCCTCGCCCCAAAGCGCCGCCGCGCCCGCCCCCCTCCCGAGCTGCGACCGCTCCTGCGGCGCCTCCCGCCGCCTCCGCTGCCGCGGCGGCGACGGCCCCGCACGCTCCGGCGACGGCTGCGCGAACGCCGGCGCCGGCGCCCACGGCCGCTGCACCCGCTGCTGCTGCGCCTCGTCCTCCGCGCGCTCGTGATGCCACGAGCCGCGCGGCGGCCGGCGCGGCGACGGCCTCGCCGGGCTGCTGCGGGCCGACTGCTGCTGCACAGCAAACGCCTGCTGCAGGTTTGCCAGCCGCGCCCTCATGCCGGCGAGCTCCTGCTCCATGCGCCCCTCACGCCACTGCCGCTGCCGCGGCGGCGCCGCGCGGCGCAGCGGGCTGCGGCCGGGGTGGGCGCCGGCGGCGGCCGGGGCTGTGCCTTGGGGCGGGGCGGGGTGGGGCTCGGGCTGCTCTTGGGGGTTTGTGAGCCTCTCCATTAGGTACCTGGGTGTAAATCGAAATTTTATACATACTGGGTTAGGGTTCAAATGGTGTGCCCAGGCAAGAAAAGCCCCACATTGCTGGCAATCTGCACAGGGAGAAAAGCAAGCGAGGTGGCCGTTGGGAGCCGAGCGGTCACCCCGCGCCGCCGCTGCCCCGGGTGCTCGCAGGCACGCCCCCGCCCGCGCGGCGCCCGGCGCCCGGCCCCCAGCACACCTGGCGCTCAGGCTCTGGCGCCGCTCGTCGACGGGCGCGGGGGTGGCGGCGTCGAAGTGGCGCCTGAACAGGTCCCGCACGACGGTTTCGGGCGCAGGCGCTGGCGAGGGGTCGGCCGGCGCTGCGGGCAAGGGCGGGTTGTGGCGAGGTTTGGGGCTCGGCGGCCGGCCGGGACCGGAGGGCGGCGGCGGGCTGCGGGGGTCGAAGCGTGGAGTCTGACAGGCGCGGCCGGTAGTGGAAATCGCGAGCAGTGCTTGCGGATGAATTGTGAGCATCACGCACCTTGGAGGAGGGCCTCGGGTGCCGGCGACGCCCGTTGCGCAGATGGAGACACTGAGGCGCCCGCGGGACCGGCCTCGTCCTGTTGCTGCTGCTCCTGCTGCAGCTCCTGCTGCCGCTCCGGCTGCGACGGTGCAGCGGCGGCAGCCAGCAGCTGCCGCAGGTGCGCCGCACTGCCCTCTGTCCCGGCCCCGCCCTCACACTCGCTCGGCCACTCGCCCACCCCCTCACGCTCGCCCCCGCCGCCCAAGCCCTGGGACGCCTCCACCTCCCCCTCGCCGTTCACCCCTATGCTCATCACGGCGAAGGCAGCCGCCGCCACGTCACCGGGGCCGCCGCCTCCCTCATGAAACACGAGCTCCTCAGTCACATCGTCCCCGAGTGCGCCTGCCGCCCCCAGCCCCTCCTCCTCCTCCTCGTCCTCTGCCGCCGCCGCCGCCGCGCTGCTGCTGGCGCCCCGCGGGGCCGCGCCGCCGCGGCCAGGACCAGGACCAGGTGACGCCCACGGCTCGCGCCCCAGCGGCGCGGCGGCGCTGCCGGGGGTGGCGGCGTGCGGGGGCTGAGCTGACGTGTGCGGTGGCTGGGGGCTGCCCTCGTTGCTGAGGCGGCGGTGGCCAGTAACCTGGGAAAATTGTTTGGTTGTATGAGGGATTTGCAATCAGGGCTTTGCGAACTTTCCAGCAAAATCAAGGATGCGCACTTTCCAGCAAAAGTTTGTGGGACTTGACTTGCGGAACAACGTCGAGGAAACGGCACGAATGAAGATGGCCGCTGCCCTCCGGCCACCACGGCACAGATGCAGCCCAAGGCTCGCATCCCTGCGGCCGCACGCTGCCGCAGAGCGGCGCCGCGCCCACGCCAAGCCCACGGACCCCACCTGCACAGCAAAGCCTCGGTGCTCGTCGAAAACGGACGCGCCCTGCTGCATCGACAGCGCCCACTTGCCGCCGGCCGCCGCCGGCGCCTCCTCTGCCGCGCCCGCGGCGCCCGGCGGAGCCGGCGGCGGCGCCGACTCGGCCTCGTCGTCGCCGCGCACGGGCGCCGCGTGGGCGCCCCTGGGGCGCTTTTTCGGGGACGGAGACATGTTGCGCGCCGCCCACGCGGGCAGGCGGTCGCAGGGCACCAGTGGGCGCCCCGCCTGCACCCTGAGTATCGTCTGGCTGACCCCCACGCCGGTGGAGTCGCTGTGCGTGTCTGGGGACGCCGCCATGCATACCTCGGCCGGCCGCAGCGCGCGGCGCGCTGACAAGGACACCTGCCGCGTCGGGCTGGCGTCTCCTGGCGTCGGCGTCGGGGTGGCCGCCTGCCCGGCCGGTGAGCGCGACGGCGGCGTCTCGGGGCGCGCCTCGCGCGCTTGCCGGCCCCGCGGCGACTGCGGCCCGGCCGCTGTTGCGGCCACGCTCCCCCGGGGCCACGCCCCCGCCACAGGCGCGGGCGTGCGCGCCGCGGCGGCGCGCGCCGCCGCCGCCTTGATTTCCGCCGAGAGCGCCCCCGGCAGCCGCCAGACGCACACGCAGCCGTCACCACCGACGGACACGAGCCGCTCAAGGTCGGACGCCACCACCGCCGCAGCCGCCACGCCGCCGTGGCCGGACGCCCGCCAGACCAATTTGCCCGACGCGAGGTGGTGCACCCGGATGGATCCGTCCGAATGAGATACGACAGCGGCCACGCCGCCGGGGTCGATGCTGACGCGGACTGGCTCGGCTGCGGGACATGGGAATCGCGGCAGCGCTCATCAATGGTGAGCGTGAGGCAAGCTCAGGAGCTCGCGGGCACGGCAAGTGAGCATGTGCTTGGAAAAAGCACAGCTGGTGCTCCCATCCCACCCTAGCGCACATGCCTGCGCCCGCCACTTTGCGGGCGCACGCGCACGGCGCCATCGACTCGGCCCACGCCCGTGCCAGCACCCGGGGTGCTCGACCCGCCAGCATGCGCACCTGCCCCGCGCTCCGGCGCCAGCGCCCCGACCGGCCGCCCGGAAGCCACGTCCCAGAACCTCACGGCGCCGTCGGCCCCGACCGCAGCCACCATCGATTCCAGGGGGTCGAGCGCCAGGTCGTACAGCGGGCAGCTGCCGGGCAGCTGCTCGCTGTGGTACACCGCGCAGCCGCCCTCGGCGCCGCCGCAGAGGACCCTGTCCGGGAGGCAGAGGGGGCGGGAGGACACCGCGCGTCTCAATGAGCCCGATGGGACTCGCGGAGTGCGCATCGACGGCTTGGTTTGTGTGCTGCTTTGCAATGGAGAAGCTCATTTAGTCACAACAGCACAGAGGGCACAAGGTGGTGCCTCGCGCGGCGCATGGCCCCTCATTTCCAAGGCCCGCACCTGAACACGATGCCGCCGTCCGCGCCGCAGCTGATGAGGCTCTTGCCGCCGGCCGCGAAACGCACCGCGGTCACCGGCGCGCGGTGGTCGTCCAGGGTCTCCACCAGGTCAAAGTTGCGCTGCGTTTTGGAAAGCATAAAGGGATGAGGGCGGGATCAAGAATAATAACAATTGGACAGCCTGAATTCAATGAAGATCGGTGTGGGGTTTTTGAGAGAGGGTTATAATGAGCATTGCAGAACGAGGACTGGGGGAGGAAGGGGAGCCGGGCGGGTGGACCAATAGGGTACAAGGGCGGCCGAGCCGAGCCACGAGGGCCTGGAGCGGAAGGCAAGGGGCCGCTGGGACAAGGCACGAACGTGCAGCCGTCCTGGCCGCTACACTGGCGCGTATCGCGCGAGGCCGCGCAGCCGCCACCGCGCTCCGCAGCACCCTGGAAGCTGGGCGTGCCGAGGATCCCATCTGCAAAGCCAGGGGTCCCCGCACAGCAGGAGGGGCGCCCTCATCCCCTTCAACGCATCCAGCAGACCCACCGTGGCGTCAAACAGGTGTATCAAGCCGTCCCGCCCCCCCGAAGCCAGCAGGCAGCTGCCGCCACCCTGGCCGTCCTCGCCGGCGCCGTGCCCGGTGTGAGTTCCCGGCGAGAAGTCCAGGGCGAGCAGTACGCCGTTGTGCGCCTCCAGAAGGCGCAGCAGCTTCAAGGTCACGAGATCGTAGATCTGACACCAAAACATGAAGATGGAAGCGCACGCGTTATGATGTAGTTGATCTCACGCAAGTCATGGTCCAAGCCCTAGACAAGGGGCAGCCCTAGGGAGTGCGTCGCTGGTGGCAATCCGCGCCCCCACTGACACCCCACTCAATTGTAGCCGTTCTTGGCTCAACCCTGGCAACACTTCCTAGAACCCAGGGAGCGAACCACCCACCCGCAAATTGCCGCACTCGTCCCCTACTGCCAGGTGCCGCCCGTCCGGGCCGACCCGCAGGCAGCGCAGCAGCACCGGCGCCGCCGCGCCCTCGGGCCGCCCGCCGCCGGCCCCGTGCGGCTGCGGCAGCGGGCGCTCGGGGTCGGCGGCGCGCCCGGCTGCGTGGGCGGGGCTCTGGGCTTGGGCGTCGGCGGCTATGATGATGCCTGCGGGATGGAGGCAGCAGCGCGCACCAGCGTTGGTCTGCGACCCCTTAACCAAGCCGTGTCACGCTGCATTCTTCGCCCACGAAGTGCTGATCGCGGCTGCGATGGGGTCCAGAACAAACCAGCCAGTCGATTCTGACCACGCCAGCAGCAACTCATGGGCACCTAGCCAGCAGATGAAAACCTCAAACCCTCCCGCTGACCCCACCGGCGG